TTATAACCAATATGGAAGTTGCTTTAATGGTACAGGTGACTTCCCAACAGTGTGTGATGCACTTAAGCTAGAAATATTTTTGTCTGAAGGCACTCACACTTTTTCCAAATGTATATTTACATTTTTTTTTAAAACACATTGACTGAGCTGTCACCTTCCAGTTCAGGCTGCTGTAGTAGTTCTTAGATGTATACTGTTACTGCACACTTTAAGTAATGCAAGTCTGACGACATTGTGAGATTGGGGTTAGGTTTGTAGAGTTTCTTTTTTCTCTTCTGCTGTGTGAGTCCTCTACACATTACAGCCACAGAGTGCAGCTTGGCTGCAGGCACAGTGCTGGGGGTCTGACAGGCGTGCAGCTGGAACAGGTCATTTGGCACAGGATGTGATGCAGCAAAATGTTCATCTGCAGCATTGGCCAGAGCAACAGCAGGGGTACACAGAGCGTAGTGCATGATAGCACAAAATCTTCTCTAAAATGTCCTCTTTCATTAAGAAATGATGTTTGATATGTTTGATATGCTACTGGCTTTGTATGACTGCAGACGTCACAGATGGGGCTTTTCTTTTGAACATATTTTTAAACTCATACAAGATGAATGCATAAAAGATTAATATTATCCAAAACCAAAATATTACCTGACAGTCTTTATTGTCCTGTATCCCTCACCATTGAGTTCATTGTCGCCTTTGCATGCATTAGTGTGATGTATCAGGATCATTTCTTGCCAGGTTTTATACTTGGCTCATAAAAAATATTTTGAATCTCTTCAACGTTGTAATATTTGTATGTTAAACTTTTTTAGCTCTGTAACGGTGAGCTATTAGCATGAATTTAACTTTTTAGCTTGTATATATATTTTTAGTCTAGCCTGTTTCTTTTTACAAATAAATGCATTTTCAAGTACCAGTAGATGGGACACTTGAGGCTCACACACACACATCCCAAGGTGCCAAAAAAATAGCATAACTTGGGAGATATGCTGGTCTGCCTCAGCCTTTTTCATTGGGAGGAATAGACATGGCATGGTAATTCCTGATATGATACAATTCGGCTCAATAGGTTGGCCCCGATGACGATAATCAAGATACAGTGATTCTGTAATCACTGATATAGATACACCACAATCTCTTTTTATCCGAAGATCATAGAATGATCCAATACAAGTTAAAGTGCAGGATTGATGTATTAACTGCAGATTGGATTCAGTTTCACCTCTTATCATGCTTCATCTTTTGACTTCTTTTCCCCACTCTCTGACATTATCCAGCGATCATCTTCTTTTCTCCTGCTGTCAGACTCTTTTATAACACTGTCAGTTTATTAAGAAAACTAAAACTCTGTCATCCCCCATGATGAGACACCCTGGTTTAACTGGCCTACTGAAAGAAGATATGCAGTGGAGAGTTACTTTGAGCACTTTATTTTTTAAAATTAAAATATTGATATTTGTCACCAGTTGAATATCAATATTTGACAATCAGACGAGTCAGGACGACTATATATTGCTGTATTGATATTTTGTCCACTTTTAGTGGGGAACAACACAAGGGGCCAGTGTGAACTAATTTAGTTTTATGTAATATCTGGTTTATTCTTTTTTGTACTTCAACAACATATCAAAGAACATAGCAAGAAAATACTCTACAAAAGCTGTTATTGATTGGTAATGTGCCTCATTTGGTATCAGACACCTTAGCAGGGTTATAATAGTTTTGGATTTTTCTTTAGTTTTTATTTTTATTTAGTTTTGACTTTTTGTTTTCAGTTTAGTTTTGGTTAGTTTCTAATGCTGTTTTTTTAATTTTAGTTTAGTTTTTATTTTGTGAAAATGATTAGATTAGTTTTAGTGTTAGTTTCTACGTGATATGGGACTTGTAAGGTTTGAACCCAAAAGTGTTAGACAGAGTATTGTGTAATAAACAACTCCAAACATTACATAATTTTAAAAATGTATTAAATTGAAATTCAAAATACAAACAATCACAACAATCTACAAAAGACAAACAATAATGGCTATGTGTCACTCACTGTGCTTGTCTCATTAACCAGAGAACATCTGGGCAGTGGGCACATGAACAGAACATTAGCTGTAGATTTTGAAACAACCATGTGGACAGTGGAAATAAGTTGCCGCCATGATGCCAAATAGTTAGATTGTAAACAGAGACACGTTTTTGTGTCACGTGCTGCCGTAAAGAAGAAAAAAAAAGCATGATTGACTAGATCCTCAACTGAAAATACTAGGCATGCTCAAACCTGTTGTGGTATTACTGGGCAACCCAAATAAGAACTATGAGGTTTTACTACTCAACACAAAATACAGAAAAGTCCCACTCTGTCGAGCTCCAGCTGCCATCATACATATACTCTGATAATCCTAAAAACCTTAAAAAGGGAACATCAAACCCTACAGTAAAAAACATGATCTCTGTGTGGTATGAGGTACAAAAATATTTGAAGGGTGGGCCTACCTTCTCTCGGTATAGCCCAATTTGGGGTAATAATTATTTTGTGCCAGGCAGGGCTGATGGTGGTTTCAAACTGTGGGCTGATAGGGGCGTGAGTCAAATGAAAGACATTTTTAATCCAGGTAATAAGAGCATTAAGACATTTGAGGAACTGGTAGTGAAAATAATATCCCATGTAAACACTTCTTTAAATATTTGCAGCTCAAGAACTTTATCAGAGCTAACCAGAGTCAGTCCCTGGTCACCCCTGCAGTATCTCTTCTGGAAAAAGTTTTACTTAAAAACCCTTTTCAAAAAGGTATAATCTCAGAAGTGACGTGCTGATATCTGAGTCAGTAGAATCCTCTGAAAATAAACTGAAAGCATGGAAAGACGATCTACAAGAGGAAATCTCAACTGAAGAATGGGATAGGGCATGCAATAAAGCAAAGACTCAAACAGCTAACATGTTTAAAACTGCTTCAATACAAATGGTTAATGAGAGTCTATATAACAAATTTAACCCCAACATCCCAGACCTATGTAACAGGTGTGGGGAGGACAAAGGTACATTTTATCATTGCGTATGGAAATGTCCAAAAATTTAAGAATTTTGGGATGAAGTCGGACGTGTAATGCAGGAGTTTTTATCATTTCAATTAGTTGTAGAACCTACGTTTTTTTTTTTTTTTTTTTTTTTCTTCTTCTTGGTATCTACCCAAAAGAACGTAAAATGACCCGCAGAGAACAGATCTTTGTAGACCTCTGCATATTGCATGCTAAAAGAACAATAGCATTAACATGGAAAAACAGTGGTAGGCTGAGTGTTACACGATGATTTAATGAAATGTCTCTGGAAAAGAAAATACTATATACTGGCATACTGATTTAACAAATTCAGAAGACGAAAACTAAGGGCATTTTGGCTATTATTTTATTTTAGTTAGTTTTGTAAACACAAAATATAGTTTGAGTTAGTTATCGTTTTTGGAATAGTCTTGATTTTATTTAGGGTGATGAGCCCTGGCTGGCTTTCAACATAGTTTGTTAAGCTCTTCAAACTAACACGTCTGTCTTGCCTTTGTTTGAAGCTATTTATCATCAAAATCAAAAGAAAGCCTGAGATGCAAACATGTCCCCTGAATTCTGTAATAAAGTCCAAGTTCAGACTGCACTGACTGAGAGTTCACTGTGTGTCAAGCTGAATACTACTTGAGCATTGATTTGGATAAAGCAAGTAAAACAATAGAAAAAGTATTTCTCAACAGTTAGCCTTCTTAGTGTGCAGGTAGTTTGTATTGTTTTTTATAGTTCTAGCCTTAAGTACCCTTTTTTTAAATCATTTTTTACAGTGTTATCTACATGATCCCACACATGAATGTGATTGTAGCTGAGATTGACTCAGCAAGTTTTTGGAGTGCACCGATGTCTGTTGAAATCCTGTCAAGTGTTGACACAAACTATCACTCTTTCTGTCATGCAGAGAATCGAGTCGAGAGTTTCCTGTTCAGAACTTAGAGATTTACGATCCCTGAGGAATGATTTCAGTTCTCACTTCTTAACCATATCTTATCATATCTTAAGACACTTTACAAAAGAGCAGGTAAAAGACCTTACTCTTTGTTATATTATCAACAAAGAACCAACATTTTTGATATCTGAGTGGTTTTTTGTATAATCATAGGAAAAGGGAGGTGAAATATTCCTGTTCTGTTCAAAGTTACTTAAAACATCATAGATGTGTTTTCACTTATCACATGTCAGATTACTACAGGTTTGGGTTGACAAATATAATGACATGCTTAAGTGTTGACAGACTGTGAAAAGATAAATGTCCTGAGTTAATTATTCGGTGAGTTATCTCCTGAATGACCTGTTATCAGCTCTTTACTGTCATTCTGCTTTAAAGCTAACATACTCTGAGTGATAAGGCCACAGACAGCAGAGTCAACACAGCACTGATATACTTTTGTTCTGTCTGCTGTGAAGTGAGCCACAGATTTTAGACTTGTAAGATGAGCACATTTATTTATTGGATCAAAAGTAATGAAATACGAAACAATTCTCAAAATCTGTCCCATACTTAGGCAAATAGACCAATGAAATAAATAATTATTGATTTTCGCAGAGGGGCGGCAGCTGCGATTATTTCCAGTGTGTTTGATTTGTGCTTAAAGTTAACCTTGCATTTTAAATGTTAAGACTAGTTCAATTCAGTAAGGTTAATCTGAAGTTTCTGCTAAACTTGTAGAAGCTTCATTGTTTTTCTTGCTGTTTAACTTGAAAGAACAGACCGATGGTCAGAAACACACAGAACAGGCCGAGTGATGCTGATAGCAGGTTTGACAACACACTGAATAATGAAACATACTCGACTTCCTAACATGCTCTATTTGTCTTTCTCTTCCTTAACCTTTTTTCAATTCCTTTGAACTTTACATCTTCATTCTCCACTTTGCAGAAACACCTCATGGAACCAGACATGGTGTTACTCTCACAGTTCTTATCCTCACTAATGTCCTGTTTGTTTTTTCTTCTCTCTGTCCTAGCAGGTGGAGTGGTGTTGAGGAACTCAGTGAGACTGCAGGCATCATGGTGACCATCCCAGAATACTATGCAGGGAAAAATGTCCTGATCACCGGGGCAACAGGCTTCATGGGCAAGGTACAGTTGTAGTTGAATAATCATACAGAAGATTTCAAACATGTAAAATGTAAATTGAAGCAGGAAGAATATAAGATTATCCACCAGTCACAATAGTTTGACACACTTTCACACTTGCTCTAAACTCCTGATATTTTCAGCAGGGGCTTTATGTGTGAACGCGACCAGTCACACTTTGTTCAATTCTGCAACTCTCCATGCTCATACTTTAACTTCTGTATTATGCTTTCTGTTTGTCAGGATGTTCTTCACCACTCTCTTGTCTATGCTGTGTCCAAATACACAGAAATAATATGAAGGCAAACATTCTCATTATAGCGGCGTATAGCACTCTGTTGCTTCCTCCGCCACTTCCTCATCATTCCTTTTACGTCATGCCTTGCCTCAGGAGACCCCCCCCTCCCCCCACTGTGTGCGCCTTGGATCAGACAGGGTGTAGTCTCCCACTGAGATGCACATCTGAGAAACATCGACATAAATATGTTATCTTCTTTTTTAATTATTAAATGATGCAGAACAATACAAGACGGGGGTGAGACATGACGATGCAGGGGGTAAACAATGACAAAACAAAGACAAGCAGGAAATTAACATTTTGCAACTTAGTATGTTGATGGTGTTCGAGGGACCTGTTTGTGTGTGTGTGTGTCTGTGTGTGTGTATAATTGCAGTGTCTGCTTGTATCTTTAATTTTTGGGGGCAGCAAAAAGAGGAAAGCTTTGAAGACAGCTAGGAGGAGAAAGTGGAAGAAGTGCAATTCAGCAGGAGACTGAGCTTGATGGATACAAAATGGAAAAAAAAAATAGATGACTTCCTCCCTCCAGGCTCCACCCGTCTCCACGAGGCCCTGGAATCCCCCCCCCCATTATAATTTTTATTCTACCATCATTATCATTGTGTCACACATTTTATCATATTCTGCTAAACACAAGAACCATTTTTTCAACGTTCATGTGTTTGAGTTTGCCAGGATGCTGCAGAATGAGTAGCTGTTTCAATATTTAGTCCTCAACTTCTGCAATTGACAAAAGGAGGAAGTTGGCCAATGATATGTTAAACGGTGCCAAGAGGAAATGCTAATTCTGTACCTCTCTGTAACTTGCTCTTTATTAAAGGTGCTTCTGGAGAAGCTGCTGAGGTCTTGCCCTGGAGTCAAATCTGTCTATGTAATGGTCAGGTCAAAAGCTGGTCAGAGCCCTCAGACCCGCATTACTGAAATGATCAACTGCAAGGTGAGCAAAATGTTTGGATGTGATCATCAAATGTATTTGAGTCTACCTTTTAAGACAAAGTTACATGCTGAACCAGGGACAAAATACTGTAACACTTCAATTAAAAGACTGATTCAATCTCTGAAATCCTCATGCCTTTATTTTGGACAGGTGTCTAGACTTTACATTTTTAATGAACAAAATGGAGGGAAATGTGTTGATTTTAAATGTGGGAATGTTTTCCTGAATACCAAATTAGATCATGCAAAATATTTTTTTCTTCATCCTGATCTGCTTCCCTGAGACTGTAATGCCCATCAGTGCAGTTTGCGTCCTGTGGATTCACCCACACATATCTTCTCAGGTCACTATTTAAAATCCAATATAGGGAGTTAATGATGAGCTGGAGTGAAGGCAAAACTCTAACCGGCTAAATGTTAGGACTGCACAATGTAGTGGGTGTTAAAGTGAGTAAATGAGGGGGTGCAAGTTCAAACGTAGCATGGTTTGAGCACTGTCATAGTTATGCTATAACTTTAATAAAATATGTTAGGCTTGTTGTTAAACTTTGATGAATATGTTTTTATAGATATTACAGCAGCATACTGAATAAAAAGAAGGTGCAGGCTGTGGGGATACATAGATCTTTAGTTTAAATGAGAGGAGTTATCAGGAGGGAGGAATTAAGAGAGTGGGTTGCAGAATGAGTGCAGGAACTTCTAAATTGGGGCATTCTGGCAACAGGCACCACTAACGCCTCAAAGAAAGGAACTAAAAGTTGTTATTTTAAGAAAAGAGAGATAAACAAATGACAGTGTAATGATTTGTACATCACATCTGTACTGTAACATTTGGACTTTCTGTCATTTTTCTCATCCAGTTGTTTGAGAAGGTGCAAGAGGAGCAGCCAGACTTTGCAGAGAAGATCATTGCAGTGAGCAGCGACTTGGTACTGCCGGAGCTGGATCTCAGTAAAGATGATCAGAGCATCTTGGCTGAAAAGATTCATGTTGTTTTCCATTGTGCTGCCACCATCCGCTTTAACGAGGCCCTCAAGTAAGTGTTCTGTTTATTCAGCTCTGTTTCTAGGTTTTATTGATGTATTTCTTAGGAATAGAGGCAGCATATTCTTGGACTGTTTTTTCTCCCTAAATGCACTGTGAGGTTACCATGCCTGTCAGTGTTTTTCTGAGTTTGATTGGTAAGTCTGTTGTCTTCACTCTGTCAGATGAATGATATCTAGCAGGAGAATGAACTCTAGAATGTTCACTTGCATTAAGCAGCGGTCACAGCAGGGAAGTGGTGACAGAGTGTTCCCACAGGTGTTTGCAGTAAACAGACTAACACCTTGTGCTTCAACAGGTAACCATTCATTTAGTTTAATCCTCACATTATTTTACTGATTTTAAAATGCACTGTTCAGTCAAAGAACTGCTAGAATACATTTGTAATAACTCTTCAACATGTTCAGATATGTTAGCTTTTCACTTACCAACCACTTAACTATCATTGCTGATTGTGTTGTTTCATGCGCAGTACTTGAGTAATTAACAGCACAGAGGAAATGACCCAAATAGTGTCTGAAAGTATTTTTACACTTTTCTAATTCTACGTAGTTCTCTTACTGTAGTGGGGAATAGTTCAATGAATGATTATGGACACAGATGATACAAAAAAAGTTATATTTAATACATTTTTATTTTGTCAAAGTAACCTTGATAAAAAATAAAACACACCTTGATGAGTAATTTTGTTACCTGCTTAACTTATCCTCTTAGTTCATGTTGCTGTTGTTGTGTCAGATAAAGTTTGATGGAGCAACTAAACAACAACAAGTGATGGGCGCTCTTTGTGTCACACCCATTATCAAGGGATATGATAGGCTCTTAATGAACCAGAGGAATAGTCCTGATGAGCTGTATATTTCTGTACATATCACTATTGTTATTAAGACTAAGAGCAGGCTGTAGTCCAAAGAGGAACATATGCCTTATAACACCCTGAAGACAACAACATGTTGTATATGTGCTCAAAAGAGAAATGAGGAGTTTAATACCCTTACTCAAAAGTGGAGGAACATGCTTCTCTTCTAGTTTCTGCTTTTTAATCACAAAAAGGGTTCCTCACATCCCAGCTTGACATGACAGTGGTATGAATCGTCTCTAATTGCATTTGACCCTATACAGATGCCAAAGCAGTGTCAATAGATTTGTCTTTATTCCAGCAACGCTGATGAAAAATGAATTGATAGGATCAAAGAATCCTGCACACTTCTACTGTATCTGTTCAGTTAAATTGGTCGACTGAATACATTCTGAAAACTTCTCCCCTCAGAGATGCAATGCAGCTGAATGTCCTGGCCACCCAAAAGATGCTGGCACTGGCCCACAGGATGAAACATCTGGAGGTGTTCCTTCATGTCTCCACAGCCTACGCCAACTGTAACAGAGAGCTCATTGAGGAAGTCGTCTACCCTCCCGCGGTAGACTACCGCAAGCTCATTGATTCTCTGGAGTAAGTTGGTCTGGACTCATTTACAGCTTGTGTACAGGAAACAAACTGTTGTGGCAACGATTGATTATTACGATGGGTGATGGGTGTTTTTTGTTTGGTCATTTGTAAACTGTAGCATGGGGTTATGGTTGATGTTTTTTCTTCAGATTACTAGATGCATTAAAAATGGAGTAGGAAGGTATTATCACGATTAATGTCAATAACACATGTCAGCTTAGCCATGGCTGAAGAGTCTACTGCTTCTTAGTAACACTAATGTTGTAGAGGCTGCCAGTCTCAGCTGCTCAGGGAGAGATTAGTGAAGCATTAGAAGCCTCCAGAGTAAGTGGAGATTAGTGGGATGATTCTGAAGTATGTATTGAGCTTTAGAGAGATGTTGCATGGATGTGTGCAGAGAGGCAACATGCTGTGGATCTCAGACAAAATGTACCTTTAGTAAGAAGGTAACAATCGACATAAAGCCACTGTTGTTTGGTCAACTTGTTTTTTTTTGTTTTATTTTACAAATTTCCTTGCTTACATCTTGCCCACACTACCTGCATAAGCAGCATGTGTGTCAGTGAACCTGTTTCTTTCAGTTTCACATTGATGTTTACAAGAAGGAGCAGCAGAATGGGTCACGTGCTGCTGAATCACTGGAAATGAAGAGAAGAGGACTCGAGCCTAACTGTTCTGCAAGCTGAGATGATTCTTGTCAAAAACATACTCCAAAAGATGTGTGGATGCACATATTTACTTCAGACCTGTTTTGACAACAGTTTTAATTAGTGGTGCAATGAATCACTGTCGAGACATGTAGTCCAGACCTTCAAATTACAAAACACACTCAATTCTAGTCATGCAAGTGGCCTGGCATCCGAGAGGCATCGTGGTCAGTGGGAACCCTAAATGGACTGAAATCTCCTCCTGTTTTTGTTTTACTGATGGTTAAATATTTCAACAACTTTTGGATGTATCGTGTAGACATTTGGATTCGGACATTGTGTCTGGCTGAGGATGAATTGTAATCCCCATGGAGGCTATCTGACTGTTGTTTTGCCTTTATCTTATCAGGGCACTATTTAAAACTAAATGTTGACAAACTTTGTTTAAGCTAAACACTGGCAAAATAAATTACCAGTCATGCTTATTGGCAAATTAAATTATTATTATTTTATTTTTTTCCAGCTGGATGGATGACGAGCTGGTGTCTGCACTGACCCCAAAGCTGCTCGGGGAGCGTCCCAACACCTACACCTACACCAAAGCCTTGGCTGAGTACATGGTGCAGCAGGAGGCGGGAGACCTAAATGTCGCCATCATCAGACCTTCCATAGTGGGAGCCAGCTGGAAGGAGCCCTTCCCAGTGAGTGATTCAGGCTGTTAGTGTTGCTGTTGCTGCTGCCAGCACAGAGGCGTTGGGATCAGTTGTGCAGTGAACGTGGTGGGAGTAGGAATGTGAGCAATGTGGAGTGACGACGCTCTGCACACCTTTTCTCCTGGGCCTGTCAATGGGAGAGCAGGAGTGTTGCTTACTGGTTTCAGAAATCTGAGACAATACATTTTTCTTTTCTTGTATCAGAGCAGACAAAAGGTCCCATTGTTCTGAAAAAGTAATTTACACTGAAATATTCCAAGTCAAATTAAAAATATCCCATTTCCCCATGAAATAATACAAATTTCAATCTATCATAGGATTCAAAGAGAAAAAAAGTCCTTTCACTTGAAACATCTAAAAGAAGAAGAAAGATCTTTGCTGCTTTAGTGTAAAAGAAAGGGGACATATTTCTGTATTTATCTTTTAATTTCAGCACTGCTTTATTCCATTTTCTTCTGTTCTTTCTTCCAGGGTTGGATTGATAACTTCAATGGACCGAGTGGAATATTTATTGCAGTAAGTGAGAGAGAATCTTTTCAAATGGTTTATAGACAGTAATGACGTCTTTGGCTTTAGCTTTTAGTAGTACCTTTCTTCTTGTCATTCATGTATTACATAAAGCTGCAGAAGAAAAGGTTTCTGCACCACTGAAGTTCTTCAATAGCTGTGACGCTGCTGTGACAGCAGCTCGAGATTCCTTAAATGATAGATTAAAAATATGCTCCTTTGACTCATTACTACACATGTAAAACAAGCTCCTTTGACTCATTACTACACAAGTAAAACATGCTCCTTTGACTCATTACTACACAAGTAAAACATGCTCCTTTGACTCATTACTACACAAGTAAAACATGCTCCTTTGACTCATTACTACACAAGTAAAACATGCTCCTTTGACTCATTACTACACATGTAAAACAAGCTCCTTTGACTCATTACTACACAAGTAAAACATGCTCCTTTGACTCATTACTACACATGTAAAACAAGCTCCTTTGACTCATTACTACACAAGTAAAACATGCTCCTTTGACTCATTACTACACAAGTAAAACATGCTCCTTTGACTCATTACTACACATGTAAAACATGCTCCTTTGACTCATTACTACACAAGTAAAACAAGGGATCTTTTGACAGCCCAAACAAACCTGTTTTCTGTTTGAGTAACATTCCTCAAATGCAGTGGCTCTCAATTGGCAGGAAGGGACACAAAAAGTTACAGGTCGCAGACCCATTATCAGTTGGTCGTGAATGTGTGCATGGTGATGAATAGTTTCAATAAGTCTTTCATATTTTAAAATAATATCAGAAATGTGCATGAAGGAGTTGGTGGTGGGTCCTGAGGTTTGACCAGTTGAGAACCACTGCCCTAGTGTGCTTGTTTACATAAAATACCTTCACTCCGGGCCTCAGGCTGCGGTCTGCCCGACAAAATGTAATCTCATGTTTTTGCAATAAGCATGAGATGAGATGAGAAAATGACGTTGCATTGTTGTCAGCATAAACTGTGGAGTCAGAACAGCCAGCAGGCTAAGCTGAGCAGTCCACAAGTTTTCACCAAGTATTTCACTGTCGTTGACCTCAGACACGGTCCTTACACTTTCCTACAGCCTACGACATCCCCCATAATCTGCAGATCTGTTCAGTTCGAATCAAAGAATATAATGAAACAATAGTTACAAGTTTTCCTTTTCCCCCCATCTACAAATAAGTTTTTAAAAGCTAAATCCAGTCAGTTTCATTTGTTCAGTCATTTGAAATTATGATCTGTGTATGATGAGTCACAATGTATTCATATTAGTTATCAAGTTGTCATTTTCTTGAGCCTGTCTCAGAAACTTTTAACAGCTGCCTTTTTACACCCCCCCCCTTCCCCCTCCTCCTCCTCCTCCTCCCACAGGCTGGAAAGGGGATCCTTCGAACAATGAGGGCTTCTAATGATGCTGTTGCTGACCTGGTTCCTGTGGACGTGGTCATCAATGCTACAGTGGCAGCAGCGTGGTACTCTGGATCACAGACACACAGCAGGTTGGATAAATGCATGCACACACACACACACACACACACACACACACACACACACACACACACACACACACACACACACACACAAATAGACACTTTTTTTTCTTTTTCTTACCACTGTAACTTTTGCTGCTTTGCTAAAGTGCTCATGATGGATAGGCCGGATCTTTGTAACATAACAATGAGTAAGGTCTTTTACCTGCTGTTCCAGTGTTTCAAGATAACACTTATGAGTTGACGCTATACAAATAAAAATTGATTGATTGATTAACTAGTATAACTTTTTTTATCGCCTTTAAATAAAATGAAAATCAACATATTTTCTCTGACCTCTAACCTATTATTACAGACCCAGAAACCTTCTGGTTTACAACTGCACCACTGGTGGGATCAACCCGTTTCACTGGGGGGAAGTTGGTAAGAAGTCTCTTTGTCTTACCTAAACACAGCCTCAAGGAAAGAGACGCTTACATGTTTAGACTCTGTCTCTAATGACAGATCCTGATTGTAACCTGATCCACTGCCTGCCACACCTCAACGTAAAGCTTTTGTTCACCTGTTAAGTATGGTCCCTGGTTTATAGCTGGAGGGAATCCCCCCCAGCAACAACCATTGTTCAGAGCTCATTTATGGACATGTCACACAGAAAGATCACTAATTACATTTCATGACTTTATGTTATACTTCACATAGAAGATTAACATTCACTCATGATGGGGGGGGGGGGTAAAAGTAAATCATGGATCTCATTGTAGTTGCAATGAATTTTGACAACACAACTTCAGGTTTTGATATCCTACATCTAATTTTGTTCAGCCGATGGAGTTTGTACAACCTTAAAATTTTAAGTTGCATCACTTGAGTCAGCATCTTTTGGGGATGCAAGTATGTTGACTAAAAAGCAGAGGCTCCGCTCTCCTTGAAATGGTAACAATATTTAACAGCAGTTGTTTAAAAAGTTTTCATTTTTCTGACACTCCATCTACTGAGGAAGATTGTGTGATATGATCAAAACAGCCACAACAGCTAATGTGAAACTATACTGGTCAATCGTTTGTCCAGAGTTATAATTAACTTCACATAAATTGTACGGTGATGTGTTGTTGTTATAGTTTTTTTTTTTTGTTTTTTTTTGGTTTATATTACAGAAAATACTAATTGATGGCATTGTCTTTAAAAAAAAATAAACAGGGTAAAATACATTTACTGATATTAATTTGTTTCCCATTTTACATGAGGATGAAAGATTTCAGTCAGGCATAAGAGAAATGTCTTTATCTGCTGATTGATGTTTTGAACAACCTTCTCTTTCTTAGAGCACCATGTAATATCCACATTCAAGAGGAACCCCCTTGAGCAGGCCTTCCGTCGGCCCAATGTAAATCTTACCTCCAATCACCTTATCAATCAGTACTGGATCGCCGTGAGCCACAAGGCTCCGGCCTTCCTCTATGATCTGTACCTCAGGCTGATTGGACGAGAGCCCAGGTAACTTCATCATCGCCGATTCAGACGTGCCGCACCTCTGCTGTTCTAACGTCAAAATCCCCCTCTTACACACGCCTGCTGCTTTAGTCCTGTAACTTCTTTCTTTTTAGTGTAGCTGCCTAACGTCGTGGCGTCAATGTGTCACATGATGCTTGTGTGCAGTTTTTTGGTGGGAGTTGAAGAATGTATAACCCCCGGCTCTCCTGCTCATACAGGAGGTCACCGGTGGGTTCTGCACTCTTTACATCTTGCTGCTGGCAATGATGGTATACTCAGTTGGGTTCCAAAGTCTCAGCACTAAAGTCATCTCAGTCCAGCTGATGAACGGACTAAGGTGGGCTTCAGTCTGAAGATGCTGTTTGGAATCCAGTCATGGTGTTGGCCCTGTGAAAAACCTCCGCTATGTGCTCCACTGTCGCAAAAGTGATTTAAGTTAACTTATTTTTTTCCCCTAAACATCCAGATACTTAAGATCTGCAGCCCTTTAGATGTCATAGGAGCTAATGACAGGCTAGCATGAAGCTACATGGGGCCTCCATCAGTTGAAGGAGAAAACGCAGATTCTTCTTCATCTCGTCCTCTGTGTCCTGTGTTACGTGTATTTGTCTCCTACAGAGAACTGTATAAACATGACCTTCAAGACCAATCCCTTAGAGCAGGCCTTCAGAAGGCCTAATGTCAATCTGCGCTCCAACCCCTTTACTAATCAGTACTGGACGACTGTGAGCCACACACTCCCCGCACTGCTCTATGATGCCTATCTCAGGCTGTCAGGCCACAAGCCCTGGTAAGGTTGCAACTACCCCCCCCCCCCCCCCTCTCCTGCACCTTCCCCTGTGCCAGTCAGTTCCAACCTTTTCCACAATCCCACCCCCCTCTGTGTGTTTGTTTTATTTGTTTGTTTTAATTTTACTGACTGGCTATTTGGAGTAGTGGGAATGCAGAAGGGCCCCAGGCTGAAGAAACAAAACTTGTTTGCTGTGTTTGTGCTTAGCCTCATGGCACCAACTGGACTTTGTTTAGAAAGACAGAGTGTCATGACTGCTGGCTTCCACTGGAGCATGTTTGAGCTCCATTCTGTTTTACGTTTATTTATTTTTTTAACACCGTTTTTGATATTTGAACATGCCGTTCATCATCTCCTTCCCCGCCCCCCCATGAAGTCTCACCCAGTCATGGAAAACCCTGAGGCACCATGGGACTACTTGGTCATTTATAAAAGTTGTGTGTAGTTGGAGACGGTTAGGTCCCACTGAATATAACCTCTATGCATGTGAGATGATTCTCCATGTTGATGTGCTCCCTCTTTACTGCCAATCAAAGGGATTTCAGACATTACAGTTGGGCTGACTTTGCCATGTTATCCTCTCTGAAATGAATTTGGCATTGTAGCTTATTCAAACTCTAGGGGTGTAATTTGGTCTGATTGGGTCTGTCACCAGCTGTGGTGTAAGTAGTAACTATCTCTCCCTCTATTCACTGATGAAATGTGCATGTTTGTCCCTCTGAATCATTCACTCACTGAAGGATTCTGAGTCATCTCAATCTGCTGTGATTAGTGAAAGTGTTAACCAATGCAATTGTTCCAAAATGCGTGTGGCTTATCGTTTATTGTGAATTGAAGCATTTGCTAAAACATTTTAACTTGTTTAATGTTTAAAAACTAAAATGAATAACGCAAACAAATGCAGTTCGAAGACTCAGATCCTCACCTTTCCTCTGCTTTCATTTCCACCAGTCATCTTGACTACCACAACATGGATGGTAATCCATGTAATGATGAGCCCCTAAATCTCAACAAACAAAGAAAATAACTATATTAGCTGGATTGACCTGTGTTAACAGGAGGACAGTATCATATCCCTCTGACTGCTGAGGCATGAGTAGATATGTTATGTACAAATTGCAAAATGTTGAAACCATCTAACCTTAATTTGGTTGATGAGCTCATTTGATAGTATGTTGTCAGTCCTTCACACAGACTAAATCCAGTAAGCCCTCGGCTGATTTGTATCATTTATTGGTAAAAACTGATAAATGAGTCCCAGATGTGATGCAGTGCTATGAGACAGTTTGAAAATCTCTCCTGAATGTAAAAATAAATGATAATGTAATTCATGCATTGAGTTGTTTTGAGATCATTAGGTAGGAGTGCTTCTTCCCCTTTAACCAAAGTGAGGAATAAAACAACCTCTCAAAATGTATTTCTATGAATGACTTTTTGTCATTATGTTGATCTGGACTGTTGATTAGTTTGGCACTCTGCCCTGACTTATTCAAATATCATTTAAGATTAGGAGATGTAAGAACTAAATAAAAACTCATAGCACTGTAAACCCAAATCATCCCATAGTTGCATTACTATTTAAATCAATGATGGGCATATAATGTGAAGTTTAGGGGACTGTTTATAAAACCTGTGACTTCATGTTACTCTAACTGTGGTGTTCATGAACTCTGGTCTTTCTCTCACCTTCTTCATTCTCATGTGTTACTCTCTCCCTATCCACGACACATTGCCTGAACTGCTATCTGCTGCTCCTCCTGCATCACCCCTCTTCTATGTTTTTTATCAATAATCATCTGTGACCTTATCACTACCATCAACTGTATTCATCTCAATGCTCTTTTCTTATTGGTCCATTGCTCCTTCCCCTCCTCTCCCGTGTTACCTTCACTGCTCATTCATCATAGGATGATGAAGACCATCACCCGCCTCCACAAAGCCATGATGGTCCTGGAGTATTTCACCAGTCACTCCTGGGTGTGGAACAATGACAACCTTTCCATGCTGATGGCCCAGCTGAGCCTCGAGGATAAGAAGGTATGGAGGATACAGACCATGGTGATCTTGTAAAATGGGGAGGGGGAATAAGTTATCTTCCTCCACATTGTTCAGTCTGTCCCTCTTGACCCCTCACCATGCAACACAGACCTTAACACACTATGGAGACAGCAGGCCGATTTACTACAGTGTGTTAATGTAGGCCGGATACAAAAGAGTGAGTCATTCATTCACTGCTGACGTCAGTTTGTAGTGAAAAGAGGCGTTTGTTTAGGAGGAATCTGCATTGATAAAGAACGTGCTGGACTTAAACTGGGACATAGAATGTTAACGTTTTTCACAACCTGAGGGGTTGTCCCATGACTAATCCATTTACAGGTACTCACTCTTGTTATAGTTTTGGGGTTATTATCTGCCTTTTTAGTAAAAGCCGGTCAGTGGTGTTAATGTCAAAAAGCCAATAAGAGACTCTGAGACACAGCTGTCACTTTACATAGAAACCTCATCAGTGAATGTGTAGGTGTGACCTGTGGTGTAAAAGTGCTATACAAGCTCAAGTCCATTTACCATGTATCACTAGAATTAACCTTGCATCCTTCACAGTCTCACTCTGATGAATGTGTATTTAAAGAGTTTCTGTCGTCATCGTATTTAACAAATCTGCTTTTAACTTTTTTATTTATAACTTCTTTAATGGACAACAATTATTTGGCACTTAGGGAGACTGATGACATCTCTATCAGCCTCAGCTCGACTGTTTTGATATTGTTTTAGATTATAATTGTTAGCATGACATTTCAAAGTGATATTAAACCTGCTAAATGTTTCTCTGAACTTTTAGCATTTAAAGTTGGCAATGTGTGTATATTAGCATGCTAACACTAACTAGCTCAAGCAGTGCTGCTTCTCCTCAATACAGACTCACAAAGTGTCCATAGTGGCTGTAGACTTGTTGATCAGCATTTTAAATCAAGTTTATTTTAATTTTGATAGCACTTCAATAAAAAAAAAAGTAAAATCAACGTTTAAATATTTTTTCAAAATGCATTTCTTTGTCGTCCTCAATCTTGGATTAATTTATAAAACTCATTTGTTTTGTTAATGCCAACTGACCTGTATTTTCAGTGTGAAAAAAAATAAATAAAATCTCTCTGCCAACATATCTAAATAACCAAATGGTGTTCTAATTTCTTCTGACACTTGGCATCCCAGATGTCCTTGTTCGAGGTGGAACCTGTCAATCACTGAAGATTTGACATCTAAAAGCTCTTTAATGTTAACAGTCTCTCTGTTTTCATTTCTGTAGGTGTTTAATTTTGATGTCCGCCAGCTGCATTGGGCAGAGTACATGGAAAATTACTGTATGGGCACTAAGAAATACGTCCTCAACGAAGAGCTTTCCGGCCTGCCTGCTGCACGCAAACACCTCAACAAGTAAGAGTCTATGGAATAAAACTGCAGCTCTGCCGACCTGAAACGCTTCATGTGATTCTCTAAGGAGGGATGACACATCTAGGTCACCAGGAGACTGCAGACATACAGTCCCATTTTAGCACTTCATCATGATTCTCAAGTACTTTAATTCATCCATCCATTAACATGAATATCTTTCCTACATTTAGCCAGGAGTTACTTCGTTTTCCAGTCTGATAGTGTTTCAGCTTATTCTTTCTGTTGGATATTACCGTCACAGTGGCACATAATCCTTTCAGCTTCAACAACTCAACTGTAAAGCAGACAAGAGATGGTGCACATTTAACATCTGTGTAGGATTGTCACATTACAAGAATTTACAAACCAACTAGGGATGTTTTAGTTGTGAAATCACTGGAATGCAAAATTGATGTTGATTAATCACCATACACTATTGAAATCCAAAGTAGTTCTTAAGTGTTTGATTTGGGATCTGATTTATATATATATATATATATATATATATATAGAGAGAGAGAGAGAACCTAAAAATGGAGTCTCCCTTTTGAAGTATGTGATATATCTTACTTTGGTCTGATTCCTAGGCTGAGGAACATCCGCTACACCTTCAACACCGTCCTGGTGGTGCTCATCTGGCGTGTCTTCATCGCCCGATCACAGATGGCCAGAAACATCTGGTACTTTGTGGTGAGCCTCTGCTTCAAATTCCTCTCCTACTTCCGAGCTTCCTCCACCATGAGATAATGAGACTAGGACTCGGGCCTGTGGATGATAGCTTCCTGAGTTAAAGCCCATAAAATGATACCCGGCTGTCTTGCCCCATGTTTCCCCTGACACTGAACCATTAATCTCATGAAGACAGACTACTGGATCAGCCTGGGGTCCACACTGGACTAAGTGTCTCATTTCTCAGATCTATTTCTCCTGACCATAAGATGCATGGATCTATCTCTCAGTGTATAACGTTCATACCAAACACACTTGGACTGTTTACAGACAGTGGACCAAATGCCCTCAGTCTGTTCATTTCCAGTCAAACCAGTCCCCCTCTGGAACCAGCTTCACTCTTGCAGTCTTTAAGCTCCATGGCATCCAAACCTGCTCAGTCTGATCTGTCCGCTCATCTGGCCGCCTGCAATACAAAACTATGCATTGGATCGTTTTAAAAACCCTCAGTTGGTTTTGAGTCAATCCCAGCTTCCCTTTGTTGTCTTTCATTCAGCAGTTAACTTCAACTGCTGATGAAGTCATTTTTCTACCCGAAAACATAAGGCCATTTTTCTTTCTTGTTTTTTTTTTCATCCCTTGAAGTTTGTGTGTTCTCGCCTTAACAAGAATGTATGATAAGCACACCTCTCTTGGTTTTTCATCTGATAGTAGCTTTTGCTAGGCAAAGCATAGACTACTCTCAGTTTGGCATTGGAGCTGGTTTTGTATAGGTTGTTGGTGGCAGATGAGTGATGACGTGTTCAGGGACAACCTGGCTGTAGATTTTTTTTTTTTTTTTAACTCTGTTTTGCTCCCCCCCCCCATCTCTTTCCCAAGACCAAAGCCATTTCAAACGATGTTTATAACAGTGTACACACAGATGCCCGTTTGTAAGGAGAAAGATATCAATGCAGGGTTTGGGGGTTGGCTTATACTCGGCTAAAGCCCATTTTGATTTGTCGTTGATTCTACCTGCTAGACCCTCATCAACAGTGTACTCTCGTATGTCCCCCGTGAACTGCAGTGAGTGCTTATCTTTTTTTGCAACCAAGCACAATGTTTATTGTAATAAAATGGCTTTATCCAGTGCCTGCAAACGAATCATTCTCCGCAGATTTTTAAAAATTAAGCTGCTTCTTCTTCTACAGTTTCCTTTTTTATGTTTAAAATTCACCTGTTACAGTCTTTAACTTGTTTTTGCCAAAAGAAATACCTCTTTGTTTCAAAAAAAAGAGGATGAGACAGGTGGAGTTGAGAGGTACAATATTTCTGATTTGGATTAACTGTTTATGGTTGAGAATTGAAATGCTCTTAGTACTGGAAGATGTATTAGGACATGAAAACACTCTGTCTTTTTTTTCTAAATTGTTTATTGCAATACAGAATGCAGGTTTTTTTTGACGATCCCATGTTGTTCGTACTGTAAAACTCAGTACTGTTGCCTTCATCATCCATTGTTTTCACTTTTTTTTTTTCTCCCTCATATGTAACTCGGGTTGAGAAGCCTAAATGTTCTTTCAATGTTGCACTGCTGTAATCTGTTTTTGCAAATAATATAAACCTCGGGAATCAGGCGACTTATCATAAAGTCAAGACTGAGAAGAAAATGTAGAAAAATCCATATGAGCTTCAGTTCACATTTAAAGGTAAACATTTGATATCTCATTGGCTAAGTTTATAACATTTAACATATAACACTGTTGAGTCTGTTACACAACATGATAGGACTTCACTTCCTGCCATTCTGTTATGTTAGCTTGCTTGCTAATGTTTGCTAATGTTTGGCGTATTGCTTACATTGGCTCAGCTGTCTGTTCCCAATGGTTTAGACAAGTAAATATTTATGATAAAATGTGGCCTCAAAGTCCCTCCTGATTTTCACTAACACACGTACATTGTACATTTAGTAGCTGATGATATAGGAAATGGTTAAAGTTCAACAAGTGGTTTGATTCTCTGCATCTATTCAGTTGACAAACTTGGAACCATGCCTTCAACGCTGGGCAGCATTTAAGCTTCCTGCCACCTTGTCAGCAGTGTACGTTTTGTCTGTTACATGAAATTATGAATTTCACATTAAATGTCTTTTTTTCATGTATCTTTGTTACCATGTTAAGTCGTTGCTTATCATACCTGGGGTTTTCCTGTGCACTTTGTAATCATTGTCATGTCTGTTACCTGTTTACGGAGCACACTACAATGTTTTTAAAAAAGCAGGGTGTTACTGTACAGTGTGCCGATACTTAGTTCTGTTTGCATGTAACTTTCGAGAGTGTCTTAGGAATGTGATTTTGTGTCTTCTTTGACTCTCACAGCATGAGCCATTTTCCAAAGGATCATGTGAGATGGTTGAATAAGAACGTTTTGGAGAGACGTGTGCAAGTGTAAATCGTGCCTGAACTTTTTTCAATATTCAAAACATTGAAAAAAGAGAGCAATCAGATCTATGTTTTCTAATCATTTGTGTACAGCTCTATTTAGGTAGACTTCATAATATACAGAAACAGGTTTATTTTTATGCTAATAACATTGTGTTGCTTTTTTATTGACATGCTCTTTGAACCAACTTCAGCTGCTGTAAATAATACTTAAAAAAGTAAATGTGTAAAAAAAAAAAAAAAAAATAAGCATCTTGCAGCATCTTGAGCGCTAAATATAACTCTTACAAGTTGTTTGACTTTTACAGTGTATGTACATGTACTTACTTTCTCTGAATGTAAAAAGAAAACAGCCTGACTCTCCTCTGACTTCTTGAATAAGAATTTAACATTACTATAATTGCCTGTAATTTTAATATACATTGGAATGCTGTTTACAGTTGTAACTCTGCAGGATGAGGATGTAAGTCTGTTTGTGATGGGAAAAGAATAGATTATCGTTTTTTGGTGGTACACTCCAGCCCTGCATTTTTTTTGTGCAGATGTTTATGACAAAACTCGTATCTAACTTTTGCAACAACAAAAAAAATTATGCAGATGTTAAATGTAGTCCAATTATATCCGTATCAATAAGGAAACAGATCTCTCAAACATGCATACCAAAACTCTGCTATTCTGCATATCTGGACTGAGAGTATGTTTAGATCCTATTTGATCGACACTGGCCTGACCTGTGATCAGGTTTTGAGGTTATCAGGTTAAATCCAGATTGGTGCAAACCAGCATCAACAAATTGCATCCAAATGCATAAATTCCTCTGAGCATACCAAAACGTTTCAACTGACGGTAAAATGAAACCATGACGAGCAAATACAGGAGAACAACAGGCAGCAATCATAGAGGATGCAGGATGTGATCATAGATACTGGGAGAATGTGAGGGGATTGATATATGAATTGAAGCTGATGAACTAAATGCTTTCTGTTAATAGATTTTTTTTAAATTAACTAGATTGATGCCCTGTTGTTATCATTAAGAAACAAACCTGTCTGTTTGTTTCAGATTAAATGGCCTGTGTATCGATCACTTACACCAAAGGGGAAGTGGTGGTTTTAACTCTTGCTGTATCGACTTTTGTGGTTTTTAATGGCTCAACAGTTATGCTTCTTTTGACATTGTTAAAACAACATGGCTTCCTATGCTTAAGCTGGTCCAAGGTTTCCTCTGAGCTTCTGATGGCTTTCAGACTTGTTACAGTGTCCATGTTGTTTTTTGTGATGTTCATATACTGTGTTTTTTTTATGTTTGTGTTTTTTGAGCTGACTTATTTTTTTGTTTGTATTTTTTTTTTTTTTACATCACTAATACTTTGAGCGGGGGGGGGGATAAGCACAGGTCACTGTGTTCACTGTCAGAAGGAAGAAAGGAGTTGTAACAGAAAAACAATAATTCAAAGAGTGCCTTGAGTTTGTACACCAAAAAGTGTGAATAAACTGTTTAATCCTCTTCCTGATTTAGATGTTTCATGTCTCATACGTCCATAAGAGAAGAAGAATCGTCCATCTGTTGGACTGAACCAGAGGGTGACAGAATGATTGTCAGGGAACGAACGAACCATTAGTCTCAATCTGTTCAGCTGACCTGTTTCCTGTGGTGCATAACAGATCAGTCCTCCGCTGAACACACAGTTATCTGGAAGTCCACTAAAGTGAAAGCTATTGAACAGCTCCATTAAGATTTAATGCTGTCATTCAGGATTACACTCGACTCCATGAGTGAAAGGATTGACCCGTACTTGATCTGGAGGGCTCGAGCTTCATTTTAAAGGAACAACTAGTGTGGTGGTGTGACAGCTAATGTCCAGAGGAATATTTTCAGTCTTCGAGATGGACAATCTCACCGTTCTTCAGCAGAATTAGAATCGGGGTTTATTGGCAAGTACGTTTACACGTACAAGGAATTTGACTTGGTGTATTGGTGCTAAACAATTAATTAATGAACAGGTTAGTAACATGATTAGGTGTAAAAGGAGCAACCCGGGGTCCGCAATACATCTGTGCCAGGCCCAGCACATAGTTCAACAATGATAAGCTGTATTAGCTATGACAACTTTATTCCATGAGACTATGCAAATCCAGTAACATGATCACTGGTGCACGTGAATGTTGTTTCCGCTGTTGCCCTGACATTATTCTGGTTGCTAAGCAACCTGGCCCCTGGAGATTGCGTCTGGATATCGTTTCAAACAGGAGGTTTTGTTTCTCAATGAGAGGAGGTTAAACCATCAAACCTCTTTGAGATCAAATGAATGTCTTACTTTGTCATCATCCATCATTAGATGACAGCAAATAACATCTTAGCTTTATTACAGTATTGCATTTTTAGAAAAGGTGGATAAAAATGAATGGCAGGGTTAGAGATGCACAGACAGATAGAATGTATAAAACCAAAGGAGGACTAGGCCTACGTAATCTGCAACTTTACACGGCTCAATTACAAAAGAGGATTGTATGGTTTGTTGTCTGATTATTCAAGGATATAAAGTCCAGCATGGAAACAAGCAACAGTGATTATCAATCTAATTTGAAGGATTAAATCAGGGGGACATCTCCTGGTCAAAGACTATATCAGCCGTGTAATGATTTCAAGCACATCTTTAAGTTGCCATGATTTCTCCATGTTGAGATCAATTGATTTAGAGACCTTTGCCTTTACAAATTGATGCTGATTTCTTTTTTTTAAATCTTTAATCCTCATATTGTCCATATGCTTCTACATTTTTAGCAGTCATTTAATCATTAATTAAGGGGTGGATTTCTTACAGTTAACATCTTCAAACATATGAACTGGAAAGTGAATGGATAGAGTATAGTGAGCGTGCTGTAATAACTGAATACAACCCAGACAGAAGGTGAGAGCTGCGTCCTTAGCAACAGTCTGCTCTGCATAGTAACAGTTTGTTCTTCTTAACAATAGTCTGCTATCAAGGGGTAGCAAGCCATTGCAATGTGTAAGTGGCCAATCAAAATCGAGCATTTAACAGCAGCAACGTCCTCCTAGAACAGGACCTACAGAGTATATGTGAAAGCATATAAGACAGAGAATTTAAACATCTATCTAAAGGCCTGTCCAATTAGTGATTCCAATTTAACTTTTAACATGTATGAAATAGCTCACTGAAAGTCTTTCAATTAAACACCACAAATGGTAATGAAGATTATTTTCAATATTATTTAAATGTTTTACTTGTATAGCTACTTTCTTTCTTGTTATCTAGAAAAAATGCAGTATTGAAACACTCGTGTAGGACATTGCATGACTATGCTTAAGTCTCAAAAAAGAATATTGTAATATTAGTCATTTTATTATGTCATAAGTAAATGTAGACGTGATGTTACGTATGTACAAAGGTGGAAGAAACACAGCAGGGGTGATTCATACTGATGAAAGGAAACTAATGGGTTAACTTTTATGGGTGGGACAGGCTTAATGTTTTGGATCTACTGCTGGGAAAGTAACTTACTTGATATATAATTCATATATATTGGCACACACACTCTCGTTGGTGTCGAGCTTCTGTTCAGCTTCTGCCCAGCTCTCATGAAAATGGACTTAAACAGTGTTTAACTGATACAGTTCCCTTGTTGCTTCTGGCTTTACAGTAAGATTTCATGGACATTAAACGCCCTCATAATTCCCCGGATGCTCATGAGTGAAGCCAGACACAAATACTCTTACACTGATCTGACTTCATGTCTGATTTGGGATCAGAGTTTGTTTGATCGTTCCTCCTGTGTAGCTTCAGACAGAAACATAACAAGACAAAAGACAGTGACCACTGACTTGATGATCTGTTGACAGCTTGCCTTTCTTCATGTTTTCATTCAGTATGTGGGTCATCAGTGGAGCCCTCAGTATTTCATGCTACTCAATACAACACCTGGTAACAGCTGCATGGCAACTGTGGCCCAGCAACCATGCCAAGCGCTGAGTCACAACCAGCCGTGCACACCCAGTGGGGCCTGGTCCACTGGGCTGCATGAACAGGAACCAGAGGCTTACAGGGCTTAGAGTTGGAGCCCAGAGGCAGAATACACACACATACACACATTTCAACATGCTCTAACTGAACGCCTGCACTAAATATCTATTAATGATGTTTATGTGAGTGCTTTGGTAATACTCAGTTTTGTATGCATAGCTGTCCATTCTTCCTACTTTATAGCAAACATGACTCTGTTTCCAGCTATAACATGTTTATTTAGGCACTCAGCTGTAGTGTCTTGTGAGTTCTTAATGCCACTGTGGTTAGAAGTTAAATTTAATTCTGCGTGTAAAACAGAAATGCTAATTTAAACAGATAGGTAGAATAGGCGAGGCTAAAAAGATACTTAGAACCAGATGAGTTTGCACATCCATCAATTTGTTCACATAAATAATGTATGAAGTAAGTCTGTGATATGAAGAGGTTGTGTTTGTGCTCAACGCACAAGAAAAAAGCCATTTTACAGCTAGCTATCTTTTTTTTTTGCAAGCCTTGTCCTCAAAGAAAAAGAAAAAGGCCCAGAGAAGGCAATTAGCTGCTCCATTTTGTTTCTTTGCTTTGCTTCTTCTCTATATGTACCTACATGTGGCTTCACACATGCTGAAACAGCTTCCCTGGATTTTTGTCAGCATTTTATGACTGTTTTTTCCTCTTTTGTTTTAAAGCAGTTTGCCCATCTCTTTCTGTCTCTATCTCACACTACACAACAGTTGACCTTGAAAGCGCCAACACGTTTACTCCTCAGTACTGCTTTTCATTCTGTTTGACATTTAAACAAACCAACCGGGCTGCTGCAAGATTTTTTACTGTCTAGTTAATGAGTGTCACCTCACACACTCCCAGGTCTATAAACCAGTTTGTCTCCCCAGTAGCACCTATTCATAATGTGTGCTTTGGTGATGAAGCCCTCTGCTGCTCTCCTCTGTCTCTGGTTCTGGCTAAACACTGGCATCAATACTGCTCAAATGGGGAAAGTGATGAAGGATGCCTTGTAGGAAAGGCAGAAACACACTCATTTGTCTCTCATGTATAACAGCTAAATAGTCTTCATACCCGATGGAATTTATTTGACCAGCCTGTGGAGATATATTCCTGTCTGTCAGGTTCAAAGTGTGGAAATCCTCTGCTGTGGAGCCCACTGGTGCACCCTTTAAGGGTTGTTGGAGGGACTGAGGCCGTTTATGGATCACATCCATGGCTGGTAATTGGTCAACAGCTCATCTTTCAATGTTTTAGTCTGTTGTGTTTTCAGGGGTTCATTGAGTGAGGTGTTTTTTTTACTTACCTGTTAAATGCAGAGACATTTCATTTGCATGTTTTCTTTCTTTATCTGATGAGCCCTGATGCTGTCAGTGAGCTATCATTTTTCACACAGACTAACCTCACCACACCATTTGCCCATAACTGTTATTTCCTGTTCACAAGTAAAGGGTGTTCAGCCGCAGGGTGTTGAGTAAAGTGTTGATCAGCTAAAGAACCATTACTGTTGAATCAAATGACTCTCTACAGTCATATGATTACTCAAAATAAAACAAGTGAATGTCACAGTATTTCTCCACCTTGCTACTACAACTGCAGTTTGCATGATTATTAATTTACTTCATTTTAAATGTAATATCAATTTTATTCAATGGCATTACTTGCCTCTTGTCACTACCAAGAATTCATAAAAAATTAAAACCGCAAGCGATGATGAAGGGCCCTCGCACCCCTGTGCATGTCGGGGTGTGTCGTGACCGTGGGTGTGCAACAGCAGCAGAACGTGGCTAAGCAGCAGGCTGCAGTTCGATTTGTGTAAAAGTCGTACTATGGTATGTTGAAATAGACAACTTAATGAAGAACACATACAGTTTTGATGTAGAGCAGTTATGGCTGGCACTGTCATGATAGCTATGAAATGTGGAAAAGATTAAGCATTGTATATAGGATGTTTTACTTACTCTTTGCAGTAGGGGGCGCTATGGTTGAAGTTGACTATTGTTATGTTAATGTTTCAGAGGCCAACCCTGATCATACATGTGAAATTTCAACCCAAGTCTGTAGGGACTTGGGTTGGGAACCAGAGGGTCGCCGGTTCAAGTCCCAATGCAGACCAAGCATGGAAGTTGGTCTGGTAGCTGGAGAGGTGCCAGATCACCTCCTGAGCACTGCAGAGGTGCCCTTGAGCAAGGCACCAAACCCCCTCCCCACCATCAGCTCAGGAGCGCCCGCTGTGGGCCGCTCCATCACTCTGTCATCTCTCCCTTAGTGCATGTCCATAGGATCCTGTTTGTGTGCATGTCTGTATATATATATACTTCAGCCTATGTGTGTGTTCATGACTACAGAGTGTAAAAACTGAAATTTCCCCTTGCGGGGATCAATAAAGTAAATCTTCTTCTTCTTGCTATGTTAATGGAATAATTGTATTAGGTTAGATGTGATCAGGCCAGTACTGACATTGTTCATGTGAAATTTGGTG